AAATACTTCAAGGCACATGAAGATTAGCCCCTGTTTTCTTTTCCCTGGCTCATTCATCCCATACCTGGTTGCTTCTCTTTTCTGAGGCCTCAGCTGAAATCACCTCCCTAGCCAGACCTCTCTGACTACACTGTGCAACCTTTCCTTTCCATACTCCCTCGTTCTATAACCCAGACCACTTAGGCCTTCATAATTCTGATCACTCATTTTTGTTTACTTGCTTATTCTTCCTTACTCGTTCACATATTTGCTGATTACTTCTTTATTTTCTAAGCCCCTTGATTAAGTTGTGAATTTTTTGAGGGCAGACTTTTGCCTCTCTTATTTACTTCTATATTCTCAATCTTTAAACAACGCCTAACACAATTTGGTAGGTGTTCCATGCATTGTTGCTGAACGAAGAGTCATGAGAAACTGTGCTTCCTCCAGACAAATCTGCTCAAGGTTCTCTACACTCACCTATTCAACCAAGAGGTTCCCTACCTACAGGCCTTCACATGCCTTCTGCAGATGCAGAGATTTCCCAATTTTCCTGCTCAAATGCTTAAAATTCCCCCTTCCTCACCCTGTGCTTCACGCCACATCCTTTTCCTCTAAATTGTTAGAATAATTGGGTAAGACTCAAAACTTGGAGCCTTCACTTCTCTTTCTTCCTACTGAAAACTAGATGATCCAGAGATGATTTAACACTTTGTGCCTCAGTGTCCTCATCTGAGAGAAAGCAGAGACACAGAAAATAATTAAAGTTATTGTCAGGATCAAATGAGATAATCTGTGTGGAACGCTTACAAGAACCTGAAACATGGGAAATACTAAATATTTATAATTATTCTGATTCCTACAAATTTGAGCACTTAATCAAAATGCTATCTTTCATTTTTAAATACCAAGTGTATGTTGTTTTCTGTTTCTTCTGTCTGATTACATAGTGTCTAGATTCGTTACATGCTTACTAAACAATTCAAAAAAAGTTGTATGTTTGAATTTAGTAAAGGGAAAGACAGATAACAAAAAATAAATAAGTGAATTACCTATTAACTAAAAAACCATATTTCCCTTGTATTTTTAAAATTCTGGTGAAGAAATCTCAGTACTTCAAAATTTGTACTTTTGCCAGTAGGTTCCACTTAGCTTTCTACTTACTCTCAGGTACCGCCTGCTTTCAAGTGAACAGGCTTCAAATTTGTCACAGTCTTGGTAAGTTCCCCTATCCCTGAAGAATATTTTATCATTACTGGCTGGGAAGCAACTGAAATATTGCCTTCTATTTGACTTTACCTAAATGGTAATTCACAGATCCATTGACTTGTTGCCAAACAATGGAAAATAAAATTAAGAAAAATGTGAACCAAGTGCTACTAATTTCCATCTTACAGAAATATAATTACATATGCAGGCAAAATAAAGATTAGGTGAAAAAAGCAAACTCCACGAGTACATGTGTGTTAAGCTTAACAAGGGATGAATCGTTCATTGGCTCACGCTCTCTATACTATAGGATTCCAACAAATTCAACCTCTCCAGCTGGCAAGTTAGTAGTGTTGACGTAACGCTGCTTGTCCCAGGACAGCTGAGCTCAGCAACTCTAGTTCCATTTTTCCTTTCCAAAGGACAGTTAAAGAAACATTCCTTGGATAAGTGTCATATGTGTTCTATGTTTCAAAAATTTGGTTCACAATTTCCTCTATAGCTCTGTTTATTGTTCCATGATTTCTCTAGATTTGATTTGTCTTGGTTCAGTTATAAATTTTAGTTTTTTTAACAAACACAATAGCCCAGAGTAGTCCCAAGGAAGTTTGTGGATCTGATGTTCAAAGAAAAGAAATGTTTCACCTCATATGTGTACATATTTTAGTCTACTATTCAGGTGTCATTCTACTCTGATCTGTTCTATTTATCTTTATTTTCAGTATGGAAGGGTTTCTCCTTCTCCTTCTTCCTCCCTGCCCTTTTTCTTTCCCCTCCTCTTCGTCCTCCTCTTCCTCCTCCTCTTCCTCATCCCCTTTTTCCACTTCTTCAACTCATAGAAACAGTGCTTTAAGTTGATACAAAGAGCAATTCTTTTACAAGTCCATTTCTAAAAATTGAACAAGAATATAAATAACTCTGTAACTTTAGTTTCCTGACTGTGAACACTCATCTAGGTCAATGGTTAAAATACAGCTCATTATTTTTTAATACCAGTAAAGCACTCTATAGTATAAATATTTCACAATTTTTCAATGATTCTTTTGATGGACAGTCAGATTGCTTTCAAATTTATTTTCCATTACCAAGATGGAAATTAATATTTTGTCCATATCTTTATATATAGGCACTTTGGGTTCTATAGATTATATTCTAAAATGCAAGACCAGTGGGCCAAAGCTTTATCTATATATCTGTATCTATTTACATATACATCCATGTATATTAATATTTTTCTACATAGAGGCATAGATGTTGTCATAATGTTTACTTTGTCTCTATTTGATTTCATCAACCTAGATTTTCCGATGGATATTTTTTCTTAACACTCAGAAATAACAAAAAATTATGTCTTGCTTTACTCAGAAAACTTCAACCTATAAATGAAATATGCCCCAAATCAAACTCTTTTTATTGTTACCATGCCATTTCAAAGGTAATTTTATATATTTTTAAGCAGTCTGTCTTCTGATTTTTTTCCTCAAACTTATGACAGATTAGTGTGTGGGCTTTGTCTACCACACAAATGACCATATTTGTAGACTCAGTTGTACTTGGTAATATTGGTAGAAGATGGCATTTCTAATCATATTTCTATTTAGACATTTTAAAATACTCATTTGTTACTGAAATTTTATAGTGAACCAAACTGATCTTTTTTCTTTGCTTATTTTCAAATATTAATATAGACATCGAGGCAGCAAGAGAACTTTTTGGCATTTTGCTCTGAACACATGGTTCATTGGCCAATCTTTCAAGTAAAGTTGTTTGACTTAGGCAGACATAAAATGTATCTAGTTAATACATAAAACTTATTAGTAAGAAGAAAACAAAGAACAATCTCGGGATTTAGAAAAGACCATTATTTTTTATTCAGTGATCATCAACATATATGAATTCATATATTTTTTCCCATAACCTATGAGATGAGTATTTGCAGATGAAAAGCTGAGACTCAGAGACACTAGGTAGTTTGCTCGAGGTCTAACAGCAAGTAGGTAGAAAAGTCCAGATATTTACCCCATTATCTGTATGATTTTGAGATGCCTACTCCAAACACTAGTATACATTCAGTTTCCTATTTAACCCAACTCATCAGCAATTATTCAATTGCCTCAACTATTTTTCCTGTCTTGGCTCTAAGTGACGTGTCAGTCTGAATGAGCAATCAGGGAAGGCACAGACATGAAGGTCAATTTTCATTGGCTACAAGTATTTCTACACAAGAGTGTTCGGTTTCACATAAGCCAAGGCCTCTGATCTACTCTTGGAGGGAGGGAGGGGCTATTTCAGTTCCAGCTAAGCAGACCCCTCTTCTGAGGTTGACATATCATCCAGAAGCTCTGATGGTTGGTGGCAGGACTACCTTACATGGAACAGTTTTCAGTCTCAGACCTCATCCTCCTGTTGCCAAAGATATTTCTGTCCTAGTGTATTAAAGCGACTCAGTAAAAACTAAATCAATGTTATATGACCTGCTGAGTGAAAAAACACTTTTCTCCCCCGTTTGTTTCTTTAACCCTGAGGCTTATTTGGGAAGTTAACACCATTTTTCTTTGAGATTTTTAAAAGGCACACTGGAAAGTACCTCAAATGTCTCATGCTTAATAAACTCTTCATTGGAATGCAGGGGGAGTAGCATTCCCATCCTCACTGCACTAAAGTAAAATTGTTCTTGAATAATTTGAGCATTGATAATTCTAGAAATTTTTAAACAGAGGAAAATTTAAACAAGATTCACATCATCTTCAGAGGCAGCATATCTTCTTCCACAGATTGTCTTGAAATACAAGGCCTTTTTGTAGTTTAATGTGTAAAACTGTGTCTTCTTTTTCTGAATATCATGACCAATGCAACATTGTATCTTCTCCTTTCTGACAGCATTAGGCAATTTTAAAAATGCTGACATATATAAAAACTATTGGTTTAAAAAATTAAGACAAGAAGAAGTCTAACTTGAAGAAATTTGGTATGAAACTATAGTGGGGGTGGAGGAATGAGGTGGGGGAGGCTCTTTGTAAATGGCAAAAGTATCTTTTTCTCAGTTATTTTATTGCCATTGGAGACTTTGGAGAAGTGAAGCAACACGCAGAGGCTGTAGGTCTTGCACACTGAGGTTAAGACTGAACCACACTACCTGCTGGTTTCTCCACCAGCGTTGCAGCCCGACCCTGGCAAAATAGGTTGGCCATTAGCCACGCTCTGAAGCCACCAAACCCGCACACCTGAAACCGGTGTTGTGCCAGAGAGCTTGGGACGCCAAAGGCTGCAAGGAAGGGAAGCGCTGAAACCGGAGACGCGCCGCGAAGAGCTTCTCTCCCGGGAGGGTGCCCCATGCGCACGACTCTTGAGAAGGTCCCTGATGCCCAGCGAAAGGGCATCTCCAAACCGGCACGCAAGCAGAGTAAACCACGCACACCCACACACCCCAGATTCAGAAAGCACAGCACCTTGGCGACCTCCGGGCCCTATGACTCTCCTATTTGGGGGCACATTTTGCAAAGCAGACAAGCACTTCCCTTCTTTTTTCTCATCGCCCAAGTTTCCAAATCAGATTGGGTGACGCTTGCCTGCGCCCTGAGCTCGCGCCTTGACTGGGCTGCGCTGGGACCCCAGGGTAGGTCCCCTGCCGTGCCCAAGAGACGCGCAAGCATCTCGCGAGCTTTCCAGTCTCCCATCGAGGACAAAGGGGGTCCGAATTCAAGTAAAGAATCGGCGGGTTGCTGGGAGATCGGGTTCAAGGGCTGCTCGCGAGTGCCGGGGGGACAATACCGTGCGCCCCGCGCGCCCTCCCTCTCCCGCGAGGCTCTCACCATTTGTAGCCTCTGCCGCGCTTGAACTTGAGGGTGAGCACAGTCTCCAGGAACAGCAAGAGGTTGAGCAGCGCAAGCAGCCAGTACCGCGGCTCCTTCTTCACCACGGTCACCCGCCAGACCCCGACCAGCGAGTGCAGCACGAATAGCAACCGGCTAGCCAGGGCGTTGAGGAGGACCAGTCCCTCCATCCTGGCCCGTGCGCTTTGCCCGCGGCCCTCGCCTGCGCCCCGCGGACCCGCCGAGAGCACCCAGAGCCCGCCCGTGGGCGGGAGCGTGACAGCACCGAGACCTGCTGCTGCTGCCGTCCCTTCTCACCCTTCAGCGCCCGACGCCGGTAGAACCGACTCCGTGGCTCTCTCCTCCCCCAAAGTTCCAGCGAACTCTTCAAAGAAGGGAGAATCCAACCCCTGCTTTTCGAGACTGCCGGGCTTGCCAGGGAATCTGGGGCTGCGCTGCCCAGGCTCCTGGGCGTTATTCTCCCGCGTTGCTGATCCCCCTCCCAATCTGGGAGCCAGTCTCCATCCCTGTCCTCTATCCCCGCCCCCGGACCTCGTGGGGTCCACAAGAACTGCCCCTCTCCGAGGAGGTGGAAAGAGGAGGGAGGTGGACTGAAGGTCAAGGTGCTGCACAGCCAGAAAGACGGAGGGGAGCGCATCCCTGGCAACTCCTCCTCACTTTCCATGGAAGTACTTTAATTCACTCGCACGTTTCACAGGAACACGCTGTCACTGTGACTGGAAGCTGGGACGCAAAAGGGCCCAAGAATCCGCTGTCCAAGCAGTTTTAGAAACGCGGTTCCTGCCCAGTTTGAAGAATTGAAACTTCCCAAGACCAGAAGAGGTCAGACCCCTGAGCTTTCTGGGAGCTCCGTGCACCTCCCTCGGCGAGTGCGTGGCCATAGGTGGCCCTGGCCACCTCACTCCTTGAACATGGTGCCTTAAAACAGAGATTCTTTATTATGCCGCCCTCCACTCCCACCGCGTTTCTCTCTCTCTCTCTCTCTCTCTCTCTCTCTCTCTCTCTCTCCCCCTCCCCCCCTCTCTCTCTCTCTCTCTCTCTCTCTCTCAAATAATAGGATAGCAAGATAAGAGGGCAATGGGAAAGTGGGGAAAGAGTCAGAAGGTAAAGCCAGGAATGAGATTAGAAGGTAAAATTCATGGATAGGGCCCTGCACTCTTGGGATCAATGACCATGAATTCAACTCTGGTCTCCCCAGCATCCAAAGCAAAGAGGAAAATGAAGTCAGGGTTTCCTAAAACACCTTCATGATTTTTGTTTCCTTGTTTGGTGTCCTACCACCTGTACAACTATTGACTCATCTTCCAAGTTACCATTTCAAGTTACCATTTTTTTTCCTTAAATAGACTCAAGGTTTTACTGAAATAAATTTTAGAATAAGCTTTTAATCATTTGTAAATGGAAAGCCAGTATATAGTTAGCTATAGACAGAAGATATTTACAAGAATCTTTCAAATAAGATGAAGTTATTGAAATCTTGCTTGATATTAATTAGTACCTTCCAAAGATCTGTGCCTCAGACTCCCTTTCTTATAAAGGAAGATACAGAAATAGAAGTCATGTCACTACCAAGCAGGGCATCAACCGCATTGAAAAAAAAAACCAAGAAAAATAATAAAGGGAATCCCTTTCCTGGTTAGGTTTAATTCAACTTAAAATCATCTCACACCTTTCTTAAAACCAAGTTGGAAAGCTGAGTTATATAATTAATGCCTCTATTTGGTGAAAAATATCCAACTACTTTGGAGAAGCTTCGAAGATATTTCCGGTGCTGAGATCTGGGAGGTCAGTGTTTTATTCATTTATTTTTGTCTGTAGGTCTACATTCTCCCAAAACATCTTGAGGAAACCCACAGTGATTTCCTGAGACTGTTTATTCTAGTGTCCGTCAGTGCAAGCTGATGACACAGTGACCACACAATTTTAAGGGAAGCAGAATAGTATGGCCAATGAGTGCAGTGGGAGGAAGCAGCCTGGTGTGGCTATCAGAGTCCCAGCACCAACTGATTGCTTTGGACTGCTGGTTTAGTCACTGCTGGCTCGGTCAGTGTTGTGCCTTTTGTACCTCACTTTCCTCATCTGTAAATTGGGTACTAACCCTATCCACTCATGGGGGTCATCTTAGGGACCACATTAACTAACCCATTGAAAATGCCTGGCAGGTATAGTAAATGCTTGATAGACCCTGGTGATTATTGCAAGGACCAAGAAAGTTAGTCCAGGGCAGCTGTGCTAATAATCTGAAGCAAGTGTTAACAGGAGTGGAGTGGAGGAACATGACATTCCAGTCAAAACCCACTAGCTGAACATCCCTGCAGCACATCTGGAGCTGAACAAGTTGAGTTTATTACTTTTTTAGGGAGGGACACACTCCATGGGGAACCATGGGGCATTCCAGTTAGGAAAGTGTTAGGTTAAGAAGTCAGAAATAACTTATTAAAAAGAATCTGTGCTTGAATTAGGTGATTGTAGGCCTCAAGAAAGTGGGGTTTTACTCCAAATTGGATGCTATCAGGAAGTGAGGTTAACTTTAAGTGTCTTGACAAATCTAATTTAGATGAAAATGTTTAATCATATATGTGGTCTGTGTCATATTCATGTTTTAATTGTGTTCAGACATGATTGTAGGATGGTTCTAGTTGTGTATTATCCATCAAGCTCTTGGAATGGCCTTACCTGATGTTTTGTAAAACTTTTATGTTCGAGAGGAGGATATCAGTGCCAAACCAATTGCTGCTGACAGGGGATGCTTTTCTCTCTCTCATGGCTAGTAGGATAGGCTCCCTAAGAGAGCCTGGAAAAAAAAAAAGGAGGAGGAGGTCTGACATCTTCCAACATCCTTGTTCCCAATTTTGAAGGTTTAGATCCAGGATAGGTCTATTGTCTTTGGATCTGAAAAGCAAAACTGTCATTAAAGAGAATTAAACGTTCTTTTTAATTTTCTCCTAAGCCCATTTAGAAAGACTTCAGAAATATCTTGAGAGTACTAATCAGGTAGTCCAATAATCTTTTTTTAAAAAATGAGCAATCTTTAAAAGCCATTCTTGTAAAAGCAAACTCAGCCTCAAACACCCAGTTGCTAAAGGATAGGGCTGTGCTAAAGCATAACTCATCATAAAGCTCATCCCATTGTCCCAGGGTCAGCAATGGACATCTGGAGCTGGTGGACAGTGTGGATCAGAGTGGTGCAAAGATCTCGTGGTCAATTTATGGACCTTTGCTCAGCAACTCTCTGATGCTGTTGACTTCTAGTCAGATTTCTCCAAAGTGAGTTCAAATTCCTGAGAAAAGGAATTTGATTGATTCTCTTCACTCTACATACCAGGTCACACCATGGGCCACTGAACTGGCTAGTTACTGACCACAGTCCAGTCATTGACCATTCTTCTGCACAGGTAGTGTTGTTTTCTTCATCCTTCAACATGATATTCTGGGTAGAAGAGTTTAAGAGAAAGCTGGGAATGGCAAGCACGTTGACACGTGCAGTACCATGCAACTGCAGGATGACATGCACACATCCTATATTTATGATGCCAAAGGTGTCCTTATCTAATACTATCTAAGCATTGTGCATGCAAAACCCACCTACTGCCTACTAGCAGGTTTGCAGTCCAAAGTCACATCTGCATCTAGGGACTACCAAAGCTACAGGTTGGTCTCAGAAGCCATAGTCTCCTGGTAATCCTCATTCTTCCCTTAGTGGCATGTGATCCTATTCAGACATCACTTTTTTTGTTTGTTTTGTTTTGGTTTTTTTTTGAGTTGGAGTCTCACTCTATCGCCCAGACTGGAGTGCAGTGGCCGCTCCCGGCCACCGCAGCCTCAACCTGCTGGGCTCCAGCAATCCTTCCACCATAGCCTTCCACGTAGCTGGAACTACAGGCACACGCTACCACATCCGGCTAATTTTTTGGTTTATTGTAGAGATGAGGTCTCACCAAGTTGCCCAAGCGGGTCTCGAACAGACATCACTCTTATATATAAGTGTGTGTGTGTGTCTGTGTGTGTGTGTGTGTGTGTGTGTGTGTGTAATACAATGCATGGGGAAAAATCATATACTACAGGAAGGTACAGGTCTTTTCCCCCAGAAGAATCATTTGCAATTAACACCTTCCATTTTTATTTTTGTGGCAGCTACAATTATATCTTTAAAAATATACTTTATATTCCTCTACTTCTTGATTTCCAACTTACAGAACTCTTGGCTTCTCAGTTTGAAATCTGAGGAATCTGCTATGTCTATAATTTCTTCTTTCTTTCTCACGGTCCCTCTACTACCAAAATTTTATTAATCACATTGTTGTCTATAGCAATAATATTCTGTTTTCTAGGTATAATTAAGTCTCTTGTGTTTTGTCACCTAGTTGGTCCTAAACATTGAAAATTTACAGACAATATAAGGGGGGAACCAAAAAAAGATCCGGAAGATCTTCAGTCACCCTCAAAATATTCTCCATTTAATGCAATACTCCTATTGACACACTTTTTCCACTGCTCAAAACAGTTTCTGAACTTGTCAACTTTGATACCTTTTAGTGCTTCTGTCATTTTTTCTTCCGCCTCTTCCACATTGGCAAACATTTCCCTTTGAGAATTTTTTCATCAAGCAATCAAAATAAAGTCACTTGAGGTGAAATCAGGTGAATAGGGAGGGTGGGACAGGGAGATCATGCCATTTTTGGACAAAAACTACTGAACACTCAGCAGAGTGTGGACAAGTGTATTGTCATGGTGGAAGAGCCAGTCACCTGTTTGCCACAACTTGGGACGTTTCTTCCGCAATTCATGATGCAACCTTCTCAAAATTTCCAGATAAATACTTTGTTTGACCATCTGATCTGGAGATACAAATTCCCCGTATACTACAAGGGGCCTGCCCTCCAAAAGATAATCATTTTTGAAGTACACCAGCTCATATTTCAAATATATAATCATTACTCAACATATATTCAGATATAATTTTTCCCCTGAACATTTCTCCGTAATCTTCTAGAATTCAGTGTTACTGAAAAAAATTCTGTTGTATGTCTCACTGTCTTCTCTGTGTAGATAAGCACTTTTTTAATCTTTAGAAGTTTTTACAATTTTTAAAATCTTGGAATGCTTATAATTGTAATTGTACCCTACTCAACCCAGTGGCCCTATGTCTTTATTTGGGTGAATCAAATTTTTTATTATATCTTTACTAATATCTTCTCCTTTATTGCTTCTGTTTTCTCTTTTGGGAAAACCTTATATTTTCTATCTTTGTCTTTTCTATGTTCTAGTAGATATTCTTAAATTTATCTTCTGGATATGCAATCTAGTCTTTAGATTATTTCATTTTATTGCTAAGCTTTATAAGTAATTTGTTCTGTTCATCTTTTTTTTTTTTTTTTTTTTTGAGTTGGAGTCTCACTCTGTCACCCAGACTGGAGTGCAGTAGCCGCTCCCGGCCACCGCAGCTTCGACCTGCTGGGCCCCAGGGATCCTTCCGCCTCAGCCTTCCAAGTAGCCAGAATTACAGGCATGCGCTACCACGCCCGGCTGATTTT